CAAACCTCTGAGGCCTTTAAGGAACAGCTAAGTTTACAGGTACTGGTCATAAAACGAGAATACTATATAAACTATGATTTATGTCAGCAATTCCAGTCAAAAAGTGACTGTGGCTCATTGGCATTACTTCAACATCCGTCCGAGGTTCATCTTTCACCTCCAACAACATTCCAATCACTTGGCCATAGACCGCTTGAGGAATAAGCCATCAGGCTTGTTCTTCCGGGCCTCTGCCACCTTTTGGAGTCACTCAGCCAAACAACACCAACACATCAACATCCCAGGGCTCCATCGCAGGCGAATCAACTTGTCGAGGCCTCAAGTTCCGGATCGTCGCTCATCTTCAATGTCTCTGGTGACATCATTTCCGCCTCTACTCTCTCCTGTAGCTCCCCTAGTGGGAGTCAGGTCGTATTACATTCTCTGCCCGCATCCTCTCTGAGCTTCAAAGCTCTTGTCTGGACAATTGTTTCATTTTAACCTCCAAAGCTTCACAAACATATTTTTAACATGCGTAATCAGAGCTCCCCCTTCTGTCCCTTTCATGCAATAACTCAACTTAACATCCTTGTTCCGTTTCACCTTCATTTTGCCATCAAATTCTAAATGATGTTGACGCCTGTTACCAGGAAAAATCTTCCGGAGCAATCCGTTCTACACAGAATCAGAAGAAGTCTCTGACCGAAGATGTTCTGCTTTCCCAAATTAGTCTCGTGTCTGGTTCATAATTTTCTCAATTTATGAAGAATCTTTATTTGCGTAATCATCTCCAAAAGTTCCACAGTCAAGTCATCAAGTTCTGGCACATTTCAACAAGGCAGTTCAAAAGTGCTTTACATTATGAGAAAAAAAAAACTTAATTGAAATATAAAAAGTTGTCTTGTGCCAGTATTGCACATAATGTTATAATGTTTTAACAGCAACTCTAAAGAGTTAAGTCTGAATTTAAAGGAATTCAGTGTTTCAATAGTTTTGCAGTTTTCTGAAAGTGTTTCCACATTCGTGGTGCATAGAAGCAGATTGCTTGTGAATGCAGAACAGTTTGCAATCTGAAAACCCAAGAATTCAGGAAGGTCAATACAACAGCAGATCTTTACGTAATGTGGCAAATCACCATTCAGTGATTTATAAAATAACAACAGTATTTCATTGTCTAGTCTCTGAACTTCAGAGAGTCACTGTAGGGACTATAGAACTATAGTGATGTGCGCTACCTTCTGAACTTCAGCCAAACACCAGCAGCAGCAAGCTGTCTGATTTAGTCATCTACAGAACAGTACCAGTCTACTTTATCAGGCGGTCGAACCTGACATGACACTCAACAATAGAATTATAGAAAATGCTCAACATCTTGCTGCAAACCTCGAAGGCTACTGGCTTCCTCAAGAGAAATTTCATACACTCTAGTATTCAGTTCGCAGGTCCGAATTTGATGACTAACTCTCCATTATTCTTGACATGACTCTCCGATGTGGAGACTCAGGCTTCCATCAACATCACCTTCTTTTTGCAGTCCAGGTAGAAGGCGATTTTCAACAATTTAATCAGAGGATGTTCTGGGTTTCCCTTACCATGAATAACTGCCCCATTTTGCTGCCTGCACATCTTTCTCGCAGTTTCTGTGATGCTACATCTCATCCAGCAACTGTTTGTTCAATTACTCTCCCTCATCATCCTCATTCCTCATCTTGCACTTCTTCAGCCTCTGATTGGCACTCTCCCTCTGCCCCTCTGCTTCATATTAACCCAAATCTCAGACATCAACCCTCTTGTAAACTCACCAATTTTCTGAGGGTGCCGACAAACGAAGCTCCTGTACCAGGGGAACAGGGTGAGCTGCAATAATTTCACCTATCTTGGCAGCTCAGTCTCCAGCTACAATTTGCTGCATACCTGCTAATTTGTGAAGGTGTCTACGCAAGGATATTCTGACCTCACAACCCTACTTCCACTGTAAATTTACTAAAATTATATCTTTACTCCAAATCAAGGTGATTGCTCTCATTCCTACCCTTACATTTCATCTCCAGAAGATACAGAGTTTAACTTTCTTGTTGATGGACTCATTCATGGTTTTCAGTTGGGCATAGATATTCTCTATTTTCAGTTTGTGCCTTCAGGTCATGACACAGTTGACTCATTTCTAGCCAAAGAGCTCAAAGAAGGGTTCAATAAGATCATTAAAATCATTCGCATAGCAGGTCAAGGCGTTGGGCTCTGTAAAGCGGACATCTTTAAAGTCCTCCTTATTCACCCAGATTTTCTGGCGGTCATAGACATGTTTTGGAAAAGAGCTTTTACTTCACTGCTTTCCTCACTTTTGTTCGTCATGTAGCCTCAAATGATCAATCAAATCACTTTGCTCTTTTATAGATGTTTCAAATAACAGTTGCTTACATTTCTTGACTATGTGAACCATGCAATTGTAACATTCCTCAGAAAAATCTTACGTTTCTAATATTCTACCAAAAAATATTTTGGTAGAAATATTTACCAAATATTTCTACCAAATATTTTGGTAGAAATATTTGATATTTCTAAAATACTAAAAGTGGTTCTGATGCAGTAACAGAACCAAACGCAGATTCTGATTCATTTGGTCCCGTAATGCTTGGTTGAAGGTAAGGGTAAGGCTCACTTACCCTCAAGCACTCCTACAAGAGCATGTTTTTCCTTTACAATGACTTTCCTATTCATCCCAAGCACTTTCAACTCCCTCTATAGACTTGGTGGCTATTACCAGGGGCGATTCTAGGATTTGACCTTTAGGGGTGCTTAGCTCCCAGCAGGGTGAAGACCCATGAGAAGATATTCATTTGTGCGTTTTGTAAATGTAACTGCTTATTCACATACATTCACAAACAAAATTAAAAGACATGTCAGTAATTCATAGAATAAAAGAACAATGTTCATTTTACTCAAACATATACTTATAAAGAGTAAAATCAGAGAACCTTAATGTTTTCCAGAGGTGGATGTACTCAGTTTGAAACAGAATCTCAAGACTACATCATACCTGCCAACATCTGCTAACATTAATGAGATACATGCAGCTGTGGAGTGACAGTCTTAGTGGAGTCTGCTCCCCTGGAAAAGAAAAGAAAATCTTAAATTTTACTAAACTCTTTTTATTGTCAAAGTATAAGTTCAGGTAAAAGACTCATAAAAACTAGTCCTTAACCTGAACTGTATTTTAAAATCATACTGAACATTACTTTATCTGAACATTATGCAGCTGTTGGTCTTTTTTTCTTTAAACAAGAATGTTTGTCCATCTATGGAAAAGTGAACGGGTTTTACTATTTCAGTTCACAGATCATGAAGTGGGTCTATCATAGTTTCAGTAAGAAAAGCATCTTTTTGTTCACAGACACAGAAACAGCCTTCAGCTAAATTCTGCACTAAAGAACAGTGCAGAATTTTAGTTCTGCACTGTTCTTTAGTTTTACCTTATTTAAGTGACTCCAGAGAGATTTGGGTAAATAACTACAAAACAGCACAACAGTCACTAATCAAACTTCAAAAAAGAGCATTAAGAACCAGGATCAGACTAACCCATTATTTATAGGGTTAGGGTTAAATATAACCCTATATACAAGAATAAAAAATATTCTTAATTTTTAAGAATAATAGTTGGTTCTTTATCATGTAAACCAACATTATAGAGTCCAAATGTTAAAGAAGGTTTGACATGGTAAAGATACTTCATATACAGTATAAGTAGAAAATAATTTACTCCCCTGCATTTTTGCCGCATTATTATCATTTCTGCTCTGGTGATAACTCGGCAAAGGTTCAGGCATGTCACCGCAAGATGGCGCTACGGTGCCGCGAGAGGAGCAAAAGTGGGCGGAGAGAAGCAGAGGACGAGACTTTCTGATTAAATAAATAAATTCAAAAAAATAATAATAAAAAAAATATATATATATATATATATATATATATATATATATATATATATTATATATATATATGCAGCTATTGCTATATATATATATATATATATATATTATATATATATATATATATATATATATATATATATAATATTTATTTATTCAAAAAACACGAATATATATATATATATTTATTATTTTTTTTCCTCTCATATTATTATCATATAAAATTTCTTTACGTCGACCAAACCAAAATAGATATAACTACTATATTGATGAGCATGCAGTGGGTGTTATGATAATTACACTACATGAAATAAATGGGCTCTTTCATATTCAGGGAAAATTAAAGAAAATGATTAGAAACCACTAAATATGTTTTAATAATAAGATGTGCTAAATGTTAAGCACATCAACAGTTATTTTATGAACAATATGTGGACAACATTTTCACATATATTTACTATGTTTTTGTGATTTTATTGGATAAATGTCTTAATATGTGATCAAAGAGAAGGTATGTTAACAAGCTTCAGTAAATAAAAAAACAAAACACAAATGTGCTTTTTTGTTGAACTGTGTTTTGTCAGCAGAGCAGCTCAGTGCCTCCCGCCCTGCAGCAGGTCAGAACTCTGGAACCACTTGCTGCAGCAGCTCAAGGCCTGCATGGCAAAGATGGCTGCTGCCATTTGCCCCGCCCCCTTCTATCCTACTTTTGTGCGTTTTTCTTTCCCATAAAACCTTTAAAAATGAAAATTTCACACATTTCTTGTGCACGTGGTCCATCAGTGGATATGTGAGGTCAGATTTGGGATGAAATTCACCTTTAAATCTGTGCAAAAAGCATCATCTATAGCTGGTGTGTGTAATAAGGGCTGTGGTGCTCTGATATGCCAAAAGGAGCATAAAATTGATAAAAGTGTGGTTTTTTCCTCACCAAAACATAAAACACAGCTATATTACATTAAAGTGGGGCTTTTACAAAGTCCTTGGGTAGTTATTTTTATTGAAAAATTGATTTGAGAGCGATGCTTCTGAATATTCAAATTGTAAGTAACGCGCAATCAAATCATTGTCAAATCATTGAGTTCTAGGGGTTTTAAATAGTAGGCATGGAGGGAGAAAATCTCAAACTAATATCTCCCCAGCTTTATTACAATATTGTTGAATGCTCTGATCCCACTGGAACACATTAGACTTGTTATTTTTGGAGACTTTTATAGAAATTTCATTCTTGGCCATTTTGCTGAGGCAGTACAGAACTTGTGGATATCCAAAGGTCTTCTCCAGGGATCCTCTCCTCCTCTCAGCCATCATGTCTGGTGAGTTATGTGTTGGATTTTTCTATTTGAAGATTCTCATTATTTGGCTTTTGTCCTGTTAAAAAGAATAGAAAAAAAGGAAATGCTGATGTTGGTTATAGAAATAGATGTTTGTGAGTGAAAGTAAGGACATGTTGGAGGGAGGAGAAAACATGGATGGCTGTTTTCTTTCTAGATGTTCACTTTTATGCACGTTTACAATAATTTCTGAATGTGGAAACATCTTTTTCCAACCTTATTTGGGGAGTGTTATATTTAATTGCCACCTGGCTGCATGCCTCTGAAGCTGGATGTATCCTGCGGACTTTCAGCTCCTGAGGCTTAACAGACTTTTATCAATTTTACAGGACGTATTAGTTCAGCCTGAGCATTTCGTTGACGCACTCTAGGACACGTAGATGAGAGTTTTTTTGCACACATTTTTGATCGAGGTGATTTGCCGGTGGAGCTAAGATTTAAGACATCAGCGCTCTGCCCGAACTGCTTGTGCGTAACAGGGCGTTTGAGTGGGATGTGTCATTTTAGCCCACTATTTCCCAATGTTTAAAACAAATCAAAGAGAAGCATTTAACTATATGAATATTTATCAGAGGAGGTTTTGATCCCAAGTCTTTTGTGTCTTAACAAATTTTTTCAACAATCCATTAATTTGCGCTTTTGAGGCCAAATTACGCGCGCATATGCACCATAGAAAGCGGTGCATATAGAAAGCATATGCACCGCTTTATTTAACGCTTTATTTAACGCTTTCTAAGCTTCGTTATTACTTTGTTTTACAAATCCTGTCAATTATCCCTTGTACAAACGTCGTCTGTTTATACTGTCATGCAGTCAAAGAAAGGGTGAGGGGGGATTTAAATAAAATAAGTGATTCTGGAGAAGAGTTGATTGAGAGTTTGAATTGTAAACAACCCTTACATGAAATGGCTGAAATATTCTTTCCACAACACATCTGATCATCATGAAACTGAAGAAAATTCCTGAGTATTTTTTGTCGACACACACCCAGTGCATTTATGCACTTTTAAACTTCTGAGGAGCACGACTAAATATTGATAGTATTTTTTAGGTTTCATGGTCCGATCGCTTTATTAACTGTTTGCAAAGCCTTTTTAAGATCAGCTGCACAAATTAACAACATCATTTAACCGTAGTAAACCGTAATAAATGTGTTAAATTAAGCCATCCCGCGCGCGATTTTCGTAGAAATAAGTACTTACTGTGGCGGTATTTTGTGCCGATTTACATTCCTTTCTTTTCCACCTGGTCTGCGCGGAGTAGGGATTCAACAGATGAGAAAAGCGCCTCAGTCTGAGAGTCAGCCAGCAGAGGGGCGTTTGAGGAAACGCCGAGAAAATGCGCTGCCAGCCGGGAGCGCAGAAAGGAGTCTGTGGCCAAGAGCGCAGGGAGTGAGGCAAATGGGCTTCACGCAGAGAAAACTTTCAAAATACAAACAATTTTAAAATGTACTTGCAGACATTATTATTATTATTATTATTATTATTATTATTATTATAGAACGGAGTAAAAGATGAAACACAAGACAGGAACTTTAATTTACTTATTTAATAGCTGTGAGCGTTTAGATGTTTAATCTCAGAAAGGCCTTCCTCTTCCCCTCATCGGGAGCTGCTGATGAGAAGCCAGTTGTGTGTGCAGATGTGTGTTTGGTAAACAAGTCCGACTCTTTGCGCAGAAAAGCCACGGGTGTACCAGGGCGTCCGGGTGAAGACCACGGTCAAAGAGCTGCTGCAGAAGCACAGAGCAAAGGAGGCCAGCAGAAAACCCCAACCGGTAAACATTACAACACAAAACATGCACGCACACACGCGCGCGCACACACCTGCCTGCAGGAACCTGACCCAGTTAATCACTAACTGCCCTTGCGGCAATAAGCAAATCTGGAAAATGTTGAAAAGTAATATTGTCACCTTTCTAGAATAAAGTGATTCAAATTTTTAAGCAAAAATATTGATTTGATATGTATTTATTTATTGCAAAGTAAATTAAATTACCACATTTTCTTTTTGCCATAAAATAATTTAGGGAAGATGACGACATGTACGGAAAACCTGTACAAAACTCTAACTGTCCATTTCCTCCTTCTCCATCTGATCCAACTATCCTCCTGGTGGTTGGCTGACTGTTTCTTCAGGTTTACTTCGAGCAAAAGGAACTTTGTCTCTCCGTGCCCCAAAGTAAGTGAAATATCAAAGTTCAGAACATTTTATAGCTGCATTCATTTTACTCTTTTCAGTCTATCTCTATAAAATCTGAAGTCATGCGTCTGCCCTGCCACTGATACCAAAAGCAGCTTGCTCTCAGATCCCGGGCAGCGCGCTGCACGCCCCGGTACTGACAGGCAGGATCCTGCCTGAGCTGCCCTGACCCCGCAGAGCACAGCTCTCAGATGAGCCTCGGCCTTTCAAGGCTTGTCGGAATGCAATTGCTGTAAATTATTGTCACCTCTAAGCCTAAACGCTCCAGAATGTCAGTTGCTGCAACTGGAAATAGAGTTGGAGCGCAGACAGCATGCTGCGATCTGACCAGAGGAAGACAGGACAGCTGCTTCTGCGCCAGCGTGCCGCATTGTCTCATGTTATTGCGGATTAATTGCACTAATATCTCTCTTTTTTTTAATCTGATCTCATTAGGCCGTCACGAGGACCCTCCTCCTGCCTCCCCTCCGGCGGATATGAGCTCTCGAGTCCCGCAGCTGCGCGCGCCCTCCCTCCCTGTCACTAAGAGCTCGTGCAGCCTGCACATGCATGCGAGCGCGTTCAGCGACCCCCAGCAGCACCATTTCGGGGACTTGATGTTGCCCAGCAACGACTACAGTTTCAGTTCCAGAGGAGCCATGGACTACAACTCCCTGCCTGCTCAGCCCACATCTTCCCCGCTGCCCTGGAGTCACGCAATCTCCTCAGACGTGGATTATTACGGCCAAGGGATGGTGAGTCTCCGAGTCTTCCTCCATGAAAAGCATCTCTTCTATTTGTAGCAAATACAAAGTTAAAAGTGTCACTCTTATTTTTATTTACAACTTTTGTGTGACTCCACATTTTACGTCAGTTTATCGCAAAATTAACGCGAGAACATGACCATCCAAGTTCAGTTATCAGAAAGTTTCAGTAAATCACAGAATAAAAAACACATTTTAGACTCAGTGTGCTTAAAAGACAAAGAAACAAGATATCAACCAACAACCAAAATTGCTAAGTTACTTGAATAAGATGCTAACATCAATCATAAAACTAAAATAATAATAATAAAAAAAACATATTAAAAATATATAAAAGAATCTTATTATAATTATGTGAGTTTAGAGTGCAGGCTGCACAGTGGGGCAGTTGGCAACACTGTTGCCAACTGCAACAGTGTTTCTTGCAGCAAGAAGGTCCTGGGTTCGAGTCCCAGCCTGGGGTCTTTCTGCATGGAGTTTCCATGTTCTCATGCATGGTGGGTTCTCTCTGGGTACTCTGGCTTCCTTCCTCAGTCCAAAAACATAACATAACTGGTCTCTCTAAATTCTCCCTCGGCATGGGTGTCGGTGTGTGTTTGTGTGTGTGTGTGTGTGTGTGTGTGTGTGTGTGTGTTTGGGTGTGTGTGTGCGTGTGTGTGTGTGTGTGTGTGTGTGTGCTTGGTTGTTTGTCCTGTCCAGTGTTGTATAAAGTACTGAAATCTCAGAGTCAAGTAAAAGTATAGGTACTGCTCCAAAATATGACTTTGGTAAAAGTAAAAGTCACTGATTGAAATGTTACTTGAGTTTTACTCTTAAAGTATCTGAAATGTCTTGTACTTAAGTATGGAAATGACTGTAAATGGATGAACTCAAGTAATTAAATTAAAAGTACAAGTAAAAAGTAAAACAAGTCAAATGCAGTTGAATGACATTTTATATTTTGGTAAACTTGTTAAATACACGTAAAATAATGTACACAACCAAGTGCAGGCAAAATGAAACCTGCTAATAGATAAACCTGCAGGCATCATTTAGTTAAGAAAATTAGGTGCTTTACCTAAACCACAAGGTTAACTTAACCTGCTTTAGGTTAACTTAACCTGCTTTACAACTGAACCAGCTTCTTAGTAAACCCTCCAAGACAGAAAATACAAAGTTTTTGTAAGCCTTACATTTTTCCTTTCAATAAGGTCAGTGCTGAAAATGAGAAAAATAAATAGTCAGTACAGAAAATGCGGCCAACATGAAGAAAAAACCCCGTTACGATTCCTCTACTTCATAAACTATAGGTGAACACAACTGGTCATTATGCAAAAGAAAAAAAGAATTGGGAGGGAAATGCAGCTTATTTGACATCTGAAGAGGGAGAGCTTTTAGTTAACTTGGTGTTTAATGGGAGAAGCGAAACAGACCTCCATGAAGCTGACACCCACCTACTCAAATAATCCAGCAAATACTCTGATTGGTTAGTGCTCTGTTTGTGCAGCTTTGGTTATTAAAAAGATATTAAAAATGATTTTTTAGGCCATCCAAAATATATACTTTTTAAGATTACAATTACTGAAAATATTGAGTATGACTAAAAATTCACTAGAGAACAGTGTGTCTCGTGTAACAGCATGAATTTCTTGTCAGTTGGTCACAAGGCAAGAAATCTATTTCAATTAGTTTCTCTGGAGAGTTTGGATGTAAAATTTGTTGACTCTCCCTGAGTGAAACTCCGACACCTTGAGGAAGGGGGAGACCAGAGACCGGCTGGCCGAAAATAGCGTTCATAAATCGGATCAACCTCGAGCTAGACGCCGCTCACACCGGATATTGGAACAGTCAAAATCCAAATTGAAAACAACTTTGCTGCGTTTGTTTTAACGGCACAAACCTGCACAAACGGAGCATTAACGAACCAGCCCACTTTGGTTTGTTTTGGAGCAAAATGCGGGGATGGTGAACTCTGGATGACCTAAAAAATCATTTTAATATCTCGGAAACCAAAGCTGCACAAACAAACATTTTAACGGCAAAACCTACACGAACGGAGCACTGACCAATCAGACTGTTTGCTGGACTTTTTGACGCAGGTGGGGAGGTGAAACCTGTGCATCCTATTGGTGGTGATGAACAAGCCCAGGCAAGCAGGCTTTGTTTCAGTCAATCAGTAGGTGGGATCAAAACATTTGCGTTTCTCTCTTGCTTTTTTGTAACGAGTAACTAAACCACACATTGAAAATGTATCGGAGTAAAAGTATGAAATTAAGTTTGGAAATGTAATGAAGTAAAAGTGAAAGTTATCAAAAATTTTCATATGAAGTACTCCAAAATATACTTAAGTAAAGTAGTGAAGTATTTTTACTTTGTTACTATACAAGACTGGTCCTGTGTGTCTCTGTGTTGCCCTGCGACAGACTGGTATCCCGCCTCTCACCCAGATCGCTAGCTGGAAATAGGCATCAGCCTATCCTGACCCCACAAGGTCAGGATGCCATTTGTTATTTTAATATGTTGGTAATACATCTTTGTTTCTATATTTTTGGCCTCTACTTTCAGTCAAACTAAGATTCAGCCCAAATATAGAGGTAATGCGTGACTTACACGGACGCCTCAGTCCTTGATGTTGCTGCCACAGGTTCGATTCCTGGTGCAATGACTTCCATGTTGTCACCTTCTCTCATGACGCACTTTCCTGTCTGACAACTGTCAAATAAAGATCATTAGAGCCACAAAAACCTTTAAAAAATAACATACTCAGAGTAAAAGAGATGTGCATGTGAGGAAGGCAAATGTAGGAAAAAATCTAGACTCTTTCACTTTTAACCATATTTCAGACCTTGTTAAAACTAAATGTATACATTCTATCTCCAATAATAGACACAATTTACAATATGTAAATTGTAAGCCTTTACTTACAGTTGTAAGTAAAGGCTGCACTGACTGCAGGGTGATTTTCACACTATTTTGTGGCGTGACCAAACATTTTCTGATCAGACTTGGATCCCACAGAGTTAAATTCTCACTTTTTCTCACTGTGTCCTGTTTCCATGACAACTTCTACTCAGACTAACGCTCTACATCTGCTGGTCGATTCCTCTCCTCTTCCAGGCAGCCTGCTCCTCGTCAGAGTCCCTGACATTCTACACCCCCCTGGATCCCAACAGCTACTCCCCGCAGGACTCATTTTCTTCTTCCTCCTCGTCTTGCTATGATTCACCCACCAGGATGGAGACCACCTTCCACGGCTTCCTCTCAAAACGCTACCCGTATCAGTTCTGCAGCCCCCATCAGGACAATATGGCTGGCTGCTGGCCAGCCCAGCCGGAGAGCACCCCCCTCGATGAGTACACCCCCTACTACCCCCCCACAGATTACCCCTACATCCAGCCTGTGGAGGAGAGCTACTTCAGGAAGGATTTCCCTCAGGGCTCTGAAATGTGTTACAATATTCTATGATGAGGAGTTCCAGCAGTATTACATTGAATCCTGTCTGTATATTGTTGTATACACTACTTTTTGGGGATTTTGTCTGCAAAAAGACAAAATCTTACCAAGTAATTTTGTTCTAGTTTCTATTGAAAATACCCCAGTACCCTTGCAATAAGACAAAACCAACTGAAAATGAATTTTTCAGCAAAAATATGATTGTTTCAAGTCAATAATTTCTTAATGTTGATGAAAAAGTACCAGTTCCATTGGAAGATTACTTCACTTATAGCATGACATTTTTCCATAAGTGAAATAATCTACCAGTGAAACTAGCATTTTTCACTAATATTAAGAATTTATTCACTTAAAGCAACGTACAGAAACCTGAGACAAACTGCTTCACCTCCTCCTATTTCTTGCTGAAAAATTCATTTTAAATTGGTTTTGTCTTATTGCAAGGATAGTAGGATATTTTCAATAGAAACTAGAACAAAATTACTTGGTAAGATTCTGTGTTCTTGCTCTGTAAATGTGACTCCCCTGGTCTACTCAGCTGGACTGTTTGTTTTGATGGTCTGCTTTGCATTTCAGTTTGTTCTCTGACCGCCGGACGCTGCGCTGGAGTGGCTGATGATTGTTTAATGGATACACAGACAGATATTTTTCTATAATTGTTTTTTACAACCTTGATTTATCTTTGTACACATGATTGTTATTATTCACAATAAAAAAGGTTAGAAGAATAAAACAGGTGTGTGGAGTGGATTTTTTTTCTTTCAGAAACCCCCCCAAAAAAACAAAGAACAAAAATGAGACTGAAAAGTATTGGCTCAGGAGGCTTGGATACAAATGTATAGCAAATTATTCAGATTTCTATGAATAAAACAGTTTGAGAACCATGCTCTGGATCATATTAAAAAGTAACAAAATGTGGAAAAGTTTAAGCAGCAAAATACTTTTGCAAGGCCTGCTGCAAAAACATAAAGTCTTATAAATATTTTGGTCTATTCTCTTGTGAAAATATCTTAGTACACTTGAAATAAGACAAAACTAACTTACAAGTAACTTTTCAGCAAGATATGGGGTCTTGTTTTAAGAAAACATGTACTCGTTGCACTGAAAGATTATTTAGCTTATAATATCTTGTCAAAAGTGAAATAATCTGCCATAGAAATCTGTCCCTACAATGCAGTCAAATAATCTGCACTGTAACATCAGCTACTTTGACTACAAATCAGGTTCAGCCCAGGATCAAGCTCATCGTCATCCTCTCCTGACAAGAAGGTGACACACTAAGAAACGCTGCCTCCCAAAGTGGACCAGGTTACTCCAGCTCCACCAAATCTGGAGGTAATAAAACACTGTTACTTTCAGGTTGTACATCACCCTCCCAAGAAATGGACAGATTGGACACATTATAGAAATAGCTAAATTGTGTTTTTTTCAGCATTGGCGGAATATAGCCAAAGTTTTGAGCACATTTGTAATGGAAACACAGCTAGACATGGTATGACTTACGGTTGGCCGGAAATTGAATCGATGATCGATTCAACAGAGCGTAGGATATGATTTTATAATTTATTCTTTGGACTTTGCCATAACATATTCCTTGGGCTATCTGCTGTTCTTGTCCTCCATGATCGTTTTTTGCTGCTCTTATTGGAGAATTGTGAGACGAAAAAACTCTCAAATATATAGATAAACATAACAAACCACAGAGACGAGTTCTTACTGCCAGCCACGACGGGTCGGGAGATTTATTTACACATTCTACCACGGATAAACATTGTTTCTCAAATCTCAAAGTCTCAAAATCAAAAGTCCCCAAAATCTCCCGTTCTTTGTCTACAGACATTCTTATAGCTTCCAATGACGTCGGTTTTGCGTCAAGACTCTGGCTGCCCATTGACTGAGTGTGTGTTGGAGTTTCCACGAATTTCTGACTGACCTCTTTTCTGAACATCTGCTCCATCTCAGAACTGCAAAACAAGTCAATTAATAATAATATTTGTTCTTATCTATCTAAACAGTGTACTTTCCAACTCGAGTTTTGGTCCAACATTTTGTACTTTCCAGATAAAATCGGGTCAGATCGACGTTTCTGGCGCCAGAAATCTTTTCCCTTATAAACAACGCTTTAACGTATTTCTGCTCCGACACTCTCTAATAAATCTCTGAGATGTACAGATAACATCTGAGGCTATACAGATTAATTTACTCACAGGTGGCTTTTGGTTTTTCATGCCGATGAATTCTAAAGTGCAACTGATTCTACTAGATAAAGAAAGAGCTCTCAGAATAAATGCATGCTGCACTTTTCAGTTTTAAATTAGAAAGCATTTTTGAAAACCAAGTGTCATTGACATTGAAGCTCAAGAGCGTGGGCTGTAATGTGACTTTGGTAGTTATGTTGACATGTTGGATTCAGTATGACTGCTGTGTGCAGACGTACAGAAACCTGAGACAAACCGCTTCACCTCCTCCATTTTTGCTTCCCTGTCATTTTGTTTTTCATTGTTTAGGGTTCATTTAGATGCCACATGTTCAGCCCCTGTCAAAAGCAAACCGTTTGTTTTTAAAATCAACTTCACACATCACACACAAAAATTCATTGAAAAACACACTGAGCAAACACAAGGATAGTAATGATGGGGGAGTAGAGCAGATTAGATGAAAAGATCATGGCTTGACATCAATTGCAAGGAAGAGGTCCATATCAGATTAATCCCTCCCTCACTCCAATCTCTGGAAACACCAGCAGACATTCCACCATAAAAGTCTAAAGGCTCTGTCAAACTTCACCTGAATCCAAACAGTTAACTCTGGTTACTCGCCTGCCATTACTGTTCTTCACAATTGTGCACGATTCCCATCTCCCTTCAGTGCTCTGTCTGGGATTTCTCCCACTGAGATGGATTTCTCAAGATGCTCTGACCAACCAGAGAACAGAAGGAGTTTTAGAACTGCATCCTGCCTCCATATTAGTGATGTCTCTTCTGTCGAGGCTTCAAGACATGCGTCAAGTAATCCAGGTGTATTTTTATACAAGTTAATCAACATATGGTAACTGCCTGTACCATAGAATAGATAAATAGAATAGCATTATTGTCATTGAACAGGATTCAACGAAATTTCTATTGCAACTCCCGTGCAAAAAGTCAAATACAATATTAAATAAACAAACACACAATAATAATAATATATACAACTAAATTAACTAAAGGCACTCAACCACACCAAAGAAGAAGCAGCAGGTCCAATTATGGTAAAGTGCAGATGATGTGACAGTGCAAGTGCAGAACAATATGGCTGTGTGGGGCAGGGGGGTGTATGTGAGGTTATGATATGTGTGGGAGGGGGCGGCAGGGAGTAATGGCTCTGACGGCTGTGGGGAAGAAACTGTTTCTCAGTCTGTTTGTTGTAGTCCGTATTCCTGTACCGCTTGCCTGATGGCAGCGGCACAAACAGACTGTGGCCCGGGTGGCTGGAATCCATGGCTATGGATCCAGCTCTCTTCTTGACCCGGCCTATGTAAATAGAGTCCAGGTCCGGGAGGGGGCATCCCACAATGCCTTGTGCTGTTCTCACCACCCGTGTCAGTTGTTTCCTCTCCAGTGCTGTGCAGCCACCATACCACACAGTCACGTTGAGGCAGAGGATGCTCTCGATCGTTGCCCTGTAAAAGTTCACGAGCAGCCGTGAGGAAAGTCCAGCACGTCTCAGTTTCCTGAGGAAGAAGAGCCTTTGTTGTGCTTCTTCACCAGGTGGGAGGTGTTGGTATTCCAGGAGAGGTCAGATGTGATGTGGAGGCCCACGAACTTGATGTTGTCCACAGGCTCCACCTCTTCTCCATCTATGAGAAGGGGAGTGTGATCCGTCCTCCTGGACCTTCTGTAGTCCACAATGACCTCCTTGGTCTTCCCTGTGTTCAGCACCAAGTTATTGGCTGAACACCACTGAGTGAGCTGCTGAATTTCCTCTCTGTAGTGGGTCTCGTTGTTGTCTGAAATGACCCACTACTGTTGTGTCGTCCGCAAACTTGACGACTGTGTTGGTGGGGTGGATGGCAACGCAGTCGTGTGTAAACAGGGTGAAGAGAGCTGGGCTGAGCACACAGCCCTGTGGCGTGCCTGTGTTGAGGACCAGTGGGGACGATGTTGAGCCACCCTATTCTCACCACCTGAGGCCTGTTAGTGAGGAAGTCTCTGATCCAGTGGCACAGTGAAGCAGGCAGCCCCACCTTGAGTAGCTTCAGCACCAGCTTGTCTGGATGACGGTGTTAAATGCTGAGCTGAAGTCTACAAATAGCATCCTGACGTAGGTGTTGGGATGCTGCAGATGGGTCAGGGCTGTGTGCAGAGTGATGGAGACAGCATCCTCTGTTGACCGGTTCGCTCTGTAGGCGAACTGGAGGCTGTCCAGGTCTGCAGGGATGAAGTGTCTGATGTACCTCAGAAGAATCCTCTCAAAGCACTTCATGATCACCGGGGTCAGAGCGACGGGCCGGTAATCGTTCAGGCTGGTGATGGTCGTCTTCTTCGGTACAGGGATGATGGTGGAAGACTTGAGACACTCAGGAACCATGGTGAACTGCAGGGACAGATTGAAAATGTCCAGAAACACTCCTGCCAGCTGGTCGGCGCACGTTTTCAGCGCCTGGCCTGACACCTTGTCCGGTCCTGTAGCTTTGCGGGTGTTGATCCTCCTCAGGGTGGACGTCACCTGGTGCTGCTGCAGGACGAGAGGCTGGTACTGCTCTTCCAGTCGGGGTAGATGTACAGCTTCTCTGCTGCCCACTGTGTCAAAGCGGGCAAAGAAGCTGTTTAAGGTGTCAGGCAGGGTGGGGTCGCGGCTGGTCAGCTGAGTGCTGTGTTTGTAGTCTGTCATGGTCCTGGTGCCTCTCCACATGCTACTGGGGTTGTTATTGATGAAGTGTTCCTCAATCCGCTGTTTGTACTGGAGCTTGGCCTGCTTAATTCCTTTTTTCAGTTCCGACCGGGCCCTGCTATAAGCCAAACTGTCTCCAGATCTGTAGGCAGCATCCCGGGATTTCAGCAGGGCCCGTACTGTGCTGTCCAGCCATGGTTTCTGGTTTGGAAACACTTTTATGGTCTTAGCAGGTAGGACAGCATCAGTGCAGAACTGAATATAGGACAGAACGGACGATGAGTATTCCTCCAAGTCTGCTCCGTCCCTGAACACACTCCAGTCTGTGTGCTCAAAGCAGTCCTGAAGTGCAGAGGAGGCCTCCTCAGTCCAGACCTGAACTATTCTGGTGGTTGATGGTACAGGCAGTTACGTTTGAAGCTTTTCAGTCAGGCAGTAAGGAACTGGTTTGTCAGTTTGCTAATAAATCAAAATATACCCCATGACATTTTCTTGCCTTTATTATGTGCATGTTTGCAGTTTATTTCAGCACCATTTTTGCAATGGATCACAATTTGTCATGTCTGGCAACATTTTGATATCTCCTAATTTACTTTATATGATGATTTTAAAAAAATCAACACAGTGGACCTATTGGTCTAATTTGTTTTACCTACTTTATGATGTTTTAAAAGGCAAAGTTCAAATGAACTTTAATGCAATGAAAGAAGCTAATCTGGGTGGAGGCATTTATATAGAAGACAAGATACCACAGTTAAATAATATGGCAAAAAATATATCTTTTTAAGCATAAAAATAAATGTTAATTGCAATTATATGTTGTCTCTTGTGACATAACAATTGTTACAAAGTAACAAGCTC